AGAGATGAAAAGTTTAGAGGGAGAAATAGATAAATAATAGTAATATTGGAGAGATGAAAAGTTTAGAGGGAGAAATATAAATTTAGAATAAGAAAAAATTAGAAAAAAAGATCATTTTAAAAAACATAGATCTGTTTTTTTAAAACTACTTTGTCTCGTTTTAAAATTGCACTTAAAAAAATGTTTCTTAAAAGACAAAATAAATTGAAAATTGAATTTTGTTATCCAACTAGCTTCTTTTTCAGAATCCAAAAACTAAAAACTAAAAACACGAAATAAACTGGTTATCAAATAAGTCCTTAGAAATAGAAATTTTAACTCCGAAGTGAATTGTTGCTTTCAAAGATCCAAAACTTAACCTAATTTTAATAGATGACTTCGAAATTGGTCATTGTTAGATTGGGCATGAACAAATGGTGTGGGTAAAAATTTTGAGTTAATAATTTTAGTAGTTAATCCTGAGCGTCAATGGGTGCTAATGTATATATTCCTTACTCGAAGTCGTGGGTTCGAATTTGCACTCCCACCATGTTGTTGTATTAAAAAAAATAAAATTGTAGTTGATTAATTGATATTATTTGTGTTTGATCTATGGTATTTTCTCATTTTAGATAACAACACTAGAGGAGTTACAAATTCTATGTCTAATTTCTCCATAATGATGTTTTTTAAAAGCATAAATAATTATTTAATGTAATAGTTAAGAAATAAAATGAGTTCAAATTACGGAGAAGTTTTCTTGGAACTAAATATCGTAGTCTCAAAGTTATGCAAAGAGATTAATCGAATTACGTGCAAGCTACCTCTAAAATTTTTTGAGTGAAAATTATCATTATTATTTTGTCAAATTTGATTAAAATTGACTTTAAACTAACCATGAGGACTAATTTTAAAATTTATTGAAAGTAGATAGATTAAACTTAGGCATTTGAAAAATGTAAAAACCGAAATAATATTTTTACTTTTTTTTTTTTGGGTAATAGTTATGATTGTCACATGTGGGATAAAATTTTTCACAATTATTTTGTATTATAGGAAAGATCCAAGATGGGGAAAAATTACAGGGTCAAGGTGTACTACATAGAGTGACTTTACAATAGTTATATTCCCCGTGAGTTAAAATTTATTGGCAATTATTTATTTAAACCACCGCAAATAAATAGTAGTTATATAATATTAACGACATTAAAATAATTCTTTTTTTTTCCCCTCCAAATGAGAGACTTAACATTCAAAAATATTAGATTATATTAATTTTAATTTAATGAAAAGTAATGTCGGATTTTTCGTGAGTAGGATACTAACCTCTCGTAAAATATCGATGATTATGGGTCCTGAGAGGAGCTATTGGATTCTTCATCATGATCATTGGAATGAAGAGGCTTTGAGGACCTTCCTTCTAAGGAAAAAGCGCGAACTTGTCTCTGTATGGCAATCACTAAAAAAAGAGGGTTAACCATCGGTTCATTGGATTCCGGGCCGGATGGATCCAGTGCATGATCCGTAGGGGGTCTTGATTATCAACAAAATTTCTTCAAACTCTTTCCTCTTCCTGCTGTCCCCATGAGGGAGAGGTCGTAGCGGAATCCACGAAAACCAAGTCACGAACGGAAAAATCTCACGATTCACCGCTTGAATTCTTTGAGTGGTGAAAATGTTGATTAACTCCTCTTTTGTTTTCCAGGAAAATACTCACGAATGACACACACAGTGAGGAGGGAGTTGAGAGATATTAGGGGAGCAGTTACTAATTTTCAAATTCAAAATGAATTTGAATTTCTGGATTTTAATTAAATTCTTAAACCATGGATGGTGGGATTTGAACTCACAACTTTATTCAGAGATTGTTAATTATCACGGTCTTAGATTATTAGTTAACAAGTTTGAAAATAAAATAATAATAATAATAATAATAAAAGAATTTTGGGAGGCACCATGCCATAAACAAAGGATTCAAGTCAGAAATGTTTGGATGCATGCGTTTGGCTGATGCAAAATAGGAACCTGTCCCGTCCCACAAGTATGTGAAACATGCTAGAATAACCGCAATAATTTGCTTTTCAATGTATTTGTTTAAATTTTGTTGGTTGATAATTCAAACTCACAATATTTTAATCGGTGTCTAGACTAATTGAATTATGTTCGGATTGACAACAATTTTATTATTATTATTATTTTATTTTTAGTTATGTCCTTGATCTTAGATTACTCCTTAAGTCACTGCGTTTTTTTACACTTTCAATTTCGTTTCTAATGTATTATTTTTTAGTATAATAAGTAGAGGTAATTGATTCAAACTCACGATTCGTAGTCGAAGATAGTTACCAATTATTATTGACCTAAGTTCGTGTTGGTTTATTTTTAATGCATTAATCTTAAAAAAAGTGAAAAATTGTTAACAAAAATATTGCGGTGGGGTTGACATACTACTTGTACATGCCACTAAGAAAAAATGTATTTTTTATAAGCAAATTGGGTTTCACATATTTAGATACATCAATAAAACAAGAAAAATACATCAAAATTTTTTTATTAAATTTAATAATTTTTTAATGAAAGAACGAATTTATAACTTTTGGTACGTACATTATGGGTACAATTGCTTCAAAGATTCACAACAGAATTTAGAATTATAATATTCACTAGTTTTAAATTCGATGTCGATGTCTCAATTTTATAAAAATATCGATTAAAATATCGATAAAATGTCGATGTCGATAAATATTTCTGTAAAAATTGAAAAAACTAAAAAAATCGTGAAAAATATTTAAATTAACAAGGTAAACATTTTCCTATTTCTAAATTAGTTAAAAATAATTAATATTAATATTAGATATATATTAGTGACATTTTGTTGATATTCTTCATATTTTGTCGGTTTTCTTGTACTATAATAAAAATATCGATTTACCTTTTATGTCGATGTCGAACCCATAAAAACATGGATATATCAGATTGATAAAACCATGCTTAATATTTTGGGAATTAAAACAGTCAACGAACATATCCGCGTGTCAAAAGGGGTCGACATTTTGAAAAGGGAAAAATTATTTTTCCACTTTTTCCCACGTTTTCAAATCTCTTGTCTCCTCTCTTCCATTATTTTCTCTTTTGTATTCTTTATTTTATTTTTTGAGTACAACATGTAGGGATGGGGTTCGAACTCTTGACCTTTTGGTCAGAGATAACTGCCTTACAATATCATTTATTAATCTAAGCAAATCCATGATTTTAACAAAATTTTCGTGTTAAATTGGAACCTTGATATTTCTTAAATCAAAACTTTAATCATTACTTACCTATGATTTACTATAATTTATATAATAACCTAAATAACGTACAATTAAACTTTCATTTACGAATTCAAATAGTTTTCGCCAATTTCCATGTGTCATTATAATTATTTATGAAATTTCACCACTTATACCTAATAAAATTTTCAAATTTTCTATGACTATTTCATCGTGTATATATATATATATCCATATTCTCATATATTGTTCAATTTTGTAACAAAAAGACTACATTTAATTAGAAATTATCAATAAAACATAATTAAGCAACATTGAACTCCAATTTACTCATTCTAATTAATAATTTCCATCAATCTTCATGATTTTGTTTCGACATTTCCATCGACATCAACATTAAGTTACTCATATTTTTACACGATTTTTAAACATTGATACTACAATTAAAATTTTATTTACTAATTCAAACACAATTTCCATCCCACAGCTTTCACAACTTTTCGTAATTTTTCTTGAAATATCCGTCAACATCAACTTCTCCATTGACATTTCGACATTTATATTGATATCAACATTTCACACCTTAACTAATATAGTAATGATAATGATTGATGGGATAAGTTACAACATTATGCCGTTAACATAGACAAGAGAATGTCAAAGTAAGCATAACTCAGCGGTAATTGGTATATATACCTCAAATCAAGAGTTTGTGAATTCGATCATCCACCACAATTTCCATCTAATTGGGGCACTGTCGTCATTTATCCTCTAACCTACCAATAGTAGTTGATATTGGGTAGATTTTCAAATTTTTTTTTTTTATATTAGTGTGTGTCAGGATCCACTTATATGTACTTCGACTAATCTTACGGGACAATTATCTCATATTACTATATTTGGTTGTGTTCTTCGAATTAGGTGACGATTGTGGGATTTGAAATTCATTAGAAAATTTGAAATCTTTTTTGTTCTCCTTTCGAATTGCTATAATTTAGGTTGTAATTTGTTTCTAGCATTTTCAAAGAATTATGCATATTTTGGGTTTGATTGTAACTCTTTTTTGATTCGGTGCATTGGCAATATGCATTAAATATTAGATTTCACTCTCAACTTTAAGATTGTATTTAAATAGGTAATTGTACTTTAAAAAACGTCTAATTGAATAATCTTCAATATTTCTTTTTAAATTAGAAAATCTATTAGATACAAAATTAAATGTATTATACTTTTTAAAAGTCGAGTGATCTACCAAACACATTTGAATGAGCTAGTAGACATTTTTTTAATAAAATAGAAACTTTTTAGATAATAACCTTCAAAATTCAAACACCAAACTCATAATTTAGCAAAAAAAAAAAAATCGAGGTAATTAAAAGGACAACATAAAAAGAAGCGAAGATACTTTTGGTATTTTCTGTGGTGTAGGAAGAACCATACGAAACTCTCTAACGAACTTGTAACATCAAAATGTTTTACTTCTCCAGTATAATATATAGGGTAATTATTCGAATTCATTACTTCTTTTTATCGAAAATAAGTATCTTGACCGGTTGAAATATGCTGAGGTGGATAATAAATTTTTTTCTGCTAAACATAAAAGTAGATAAAGATGGGATTCCCATCAGAAAAACGTGGAAGTTATCTTTGATATAATAATGGCTCTTAAAAAAGTTGACAAAAACCTTCCTCCATCTATAAATATTCTCTTCCATTTCCATTGAATCAACATCGAAAAACTTAGCAATGGCTTCCATTGTTTCATCCTTTAGCTTAAGCTTCCTCTTCTTCTTCTTTGTTTGTCATTTGAAGTTTATGGTTGAAAGTTCTCCATTAGTTCCCGCCGTCTACATCTTTGGAGACTCTTTGGTTGATGCTGGAAATAACAACTATCTTAATGCATCTGCCAAAGCCAATTTTCCCCACAACGGAGTCGACTTTCCACACCAACAATACACCGGCAGGTTCTCTAATGGCAAAATCGTTCCTGATTTTCTCGGTACTTTCATACCATCCATTCTACTTATAAATAATACTTACCTTTACGAAGGGTAGATACCTTCAACTTTAGTACTATTATTGTAATATATTTAATTTTTCAAAATCACATGTTGGCATAGTTGATCACACGGTCAAGCCTCCAGACGAATAGTGTTCGAGATTTGTGCATTTTTTTTTGTTATAAAGGAAATTTTCTTTATATAAATATAAATATGTCAAAATTCTAAAAAGAAAAAAGGGGAAAAAAGAAACTATTTTTATTCATTTAAAAATATATAAAAAGAAAGTTTCTTTATATAAATATGTTAATTTAAAAAAAGAAAATAAAAAGAAATATACAATTTAACGAGTCATATTTTTTCTATAAATTATTGTATTGTATTTTTTCTGCTCTGTAAATAATTAAATTTTTTACATTCGATTATTATTTTTATATAATTTTTTGGACATTAATTTTCTAAAGTTATAATTTTCTTTCAACTTCATCATATGTACAAGTTCTTGATTTGTGAATAAACATTATTGATCGGCCACTACTAATGACTATTAAAAATTTGATAGCATTTTTGTCTTAGTTGTCAAAAACATAATGACAGCTAACAGGAGATACACCTGACTAGTCAATATCTAAGTACACTGCTACTTTAGAATAATACTTAGATGTTTATCGAAATATATGTACATTTATTTTATGAATCTTTTGATCCATAGATTTTTGTCATTTCTCAAAATTCTCAATTTGATGTAATAAATGAATTTTTGAACAGCCGAAGAGGTGAGTTTACCTCTTGTTCCACCGTATCTCTCCCTTGCGGACGAGAATGGAAGGGTAACAAATGCGACGCCGTTTAGAACTGGCGTCAACTTCGCTTCGGGAGGATTTGGAATTTTGGATGAAACAAAACAAGGCTTTGTAAGTACATTCATGCTCGATCTATTTCTATATATTTTCCATGTATTATTTGAACAGAAGAAAACAAGAAAAGAGAAAACGAAAGTAAAGACCCGTTTGGTAACATTTTTGGTAACATTTTTGTTTCTCGTTTCTCATTTTCTATTTTATTAAGAAATCTAAGCAGTTGATAACTATTTATGTTTCTTGTTGCTCTTTTTTCTAGAAACATTCCCAAAATCTTATAGAAGTTTTAGGGGAAAAAACAAGTTTCTTATATTTTGTTACCTTATTTGTTGCAACATAAATAAAAATATTGTTTTATCATCTCTTGCATACATAAGCGTTGGACCGTACAATTCTATTTATTTATTTATTTATTAAAAAGAAATAGAAACAAGAAACGAAAATGTTACTAAACAAGCCGTAACTGATAATTTATTTGGACAAAAACAGAAAAAGGTTCCAATTAAGAATAAGGTTGAGATGGAGCAAGATCGACCAATGCCGATGAGTCAACAAATAGCATTTTATTCATCAGTATATGAATATCTCGTGGAAGAGCTGGGATCTGATGCGGCACAAGCACACCTTTCCCAATCTCTGTTTTTTATCGTGGCTGGAAGTAATGACCTCTTCGCTTATTATGAGACTGATGTGCACAAGCATTACACACCACAGGCATACGTGGACTTAATGGTCTCCACTTTTGAGTCCGAGCTCAAGGTAGGGTAGAAACTTTATCTTCCWATTTTGCCCTTTAATTTTAATCATTTTATCATTCATCTCTCTCTACAGACGACGATCTTCATCTTCTCAAATTCCACTAATTCCCGCCTCCCACACCACACCTCTTTTAATTTCATTTCTCAATTTATATCTCTTTTTTTAGTACAACATATTGGACAGGAGATTGAACTTACAATCTTCTTGGTTGAAGATATATGCCAATTACACTGAGTTATGCTCACTTTGGCCTCAATTTATCTATGCTTTCTTTTTCATTCACTCTTTTTTTCTCTCCATCCATTCAAATTCCTTGCTCAAATTATCATCTACTTTATGTTTTTTGGAATTTGTAAAGATGAAGAGATAGTATTTAGAGATAGAGAGAAGTTTAGATTAAATTATATGGGCGCGGAATTGTGTGAGAGAGAAACTTTAAAGATCGAGAGATATATTTACAAAAGAGATAAAATTAGTGGAATTGAGAGAAATTTTGGGTTTGTAAGGAGTGCAAACAAAGTTCCACRTTGGCTAGGGAAGGGGTGATCCATGGTATATAAGGAAGGACAATTATCTCCATTAGTGTGAGGTCTTTTGGGTGAAATCAAAAGCAAAGTCGGACAATATCATATCMTYGTGGAGATACGAGGGATCGATATCATTTTCCTTAATAAGAAATTTATTTTTTAATGACAAAATTGCTTTTAAGGTAATAGTAAATAAATTTTACACGCATCGCARTGTTGGTCACTAATATAAATAAATGTGACAACTTCAAAATAATAGTTTCGTTGTTAATTCATATGAAGTGAGTACGTTTTTACGAGCGACATAAACAATATATATAGTTTTATAACAAAGATTTTGATGTAAATTAATGCTACATTTTTGAACTACAGGTTTTGTACAAGTATGGGGCAAGAAAATATGTGGTGAATGGAGTTGGATTATTAGGGTGCATTCCATTTCAAAGGATGAACATCCAAGGGGGAGAATGCAGAGATGAAATGAATTATTGGGCTGGAAAGTACAATACTGCCCTTCGATCTTTATTACATAGATTGGAAATGGAGCTCCCTGGCTTTGCATACTCCTATGGTGATGTATATGCACTCATCTCTCATGTTATGGAAACTCCATCAAAATATGGTAACTCTATCCAACAAATTAAATGTCATTATTTGTTTTCGTAGACACATCAGAGCCCAAAACACTCAAACGAGTATTTAGTTCAAAAATGAGATTAAGATCGTGGTTCTTTTGGCTCATTGATCTTGGTCGGATACCATATTTTTGGACTAGATGCTCGTTTAAGCTTTGTTTAGGCTCTAATATCATATCAATAATCATGGGGCTTTCCAGCTCAAAACCAATTGACAATGAGARGATTAGTCCAGAGTAGTCCATGTCTATTTATAAAATTTTATTAGATCTCTTATTTTTTTAATGYAGGATCTTAAGCAGTTTATGTGAACGTTGTTTCCTTCCATGTATCCTTAACATACGTCTCAAACATTATTGTTTATTTTCATTTCAGGATTCATCGAAATTGAAGCAGCTTGTTGTGGGCTAGGACACTTGAACGCTGTAGTTCCTTGCATACCAATGGCGTCCCTCTGCCCAAATAGATCAGACCACCTCTTTTGGGATCCATTCCATCCTTCTCAAAAAGTAAACCGCATCGTTGTTGATTACATGTTTGATGGCTTTAATTTCACATACCCAATCAATATCAAAGAGCTCATTGCTAAACCCGCAAAAAGTATTGGATATTAATACTACTAGCGTTCTAAATGAAGTAGAAGCTAAATAAATGTATGAATCAAGTGATCATCTCTTGCTAATGAAAAAAGTACTTGAGTATTATGTTTACGTTCGCGGTGGTAAAAGTAACTTTTGAATCCATTTATTGTTGAATAAATGAGTGTAACTCAGTTACCACATGTAGATAAAATTAGTACGAAAGAAAAGAGACGGTCCTTGAAGAAAGAAACGTTTTTATTAGAAAAGTATATAAATGGACACTCAATTGAGAGAAATCTCTCTCACACTTGAACTTCCCTCACTTTCTTCACTTGATTTTGTTGCGTGACATGTGGAAGGAAACATCTAACCTATTTAATAAATAGATTGTTCTTAGATCCCTTATAAAATATCCACATATTCCAAGAGCATCTAATTTTTTTTAGATATTTATTTACAATCTTCAGGAACAATCTAGAAAAACTAATTATTACATTTAAGAGAAATATGCGGAGACTTCAAAAAGCTAGCTTCTAGACAGTTAGTGTTGTATTTTAACATTTATCACGTACGATATTAACGGGCTAGCCATCACCTGTTATTCGTCTCAAACCATCAAGCAATCCACAAAGACTCCTCCAAACAAAGGAGACATTTTCTTTCAACTCAAACCTCCATGAAAGTAGTGTGTTTCTAAAATATTTAACCTTAAGAACTTGGCTAAGAATAGAAGATGGATGTTCTATAATTCACCAACATTGTTTTGCATGAAGAGCCTGAATTTTGACAAACATACCTTCTTAACCTTATTATTTGATGATTAATTACTAGACACAAAAGCAAGCCATATAATAATTTAGGGTAAGAAAACACATATAAACGACACAAGATATTTGGATCTACCAGCTTTTATTTATGATTTATGATGATTAATAACATTATTTAAAGTTTAATTCCAAGACATGAAAGCAAGCCAACACATAATAATTTAGAAACTATATAAGATATTTGGGTCTACCAACTTTATTTAGATGGTTAATAACCTTATTTAAAGTTTAGTTCCTAGATTATGACTTAGGAAAATTAGAAGAACCTAAATTGGTTCCTGTTTGGTTTCATACTTGAAGTTGTAGCAATTGACACTGGTGTAAATTCCATCATCATAGTAGTTAGTCACTTGATCCCCATTAATAAGAGTGTCACGTTGAGTATACGAATACGGGATATCGCAGTGAGCTTGTGTTGCCAATAGACTCACTCTCACTCTCGTCATTGGTGGCACGGTTACTTTGTACGTAGTCTCGATCACAGACGATTTCAATCGAGTTTCTCCCCAACTATACGATCCCGAAAACTCGGCACAAATTTGAATCTTCCCCTCTGCAATGAGTGGAATACCAGTTTGCATAGATGTCTTTACACCAAGCTTGGCTGAAAGAGTGGAAGACCATGTGTTGCTCACAGAATTTGTATAGGAGAGCTTAATATCTATAGTGTTTGCTTCACTGGAATCGTTACTAGCATCACCGTTGGCCATGGTGATGACACTTGCGTCATATATTCGTGCATCCAAAAGATGAAAGATTATGTTATAGATGCTTCTTGAAAGTACAAGCTCCTCTATCACCAAGCGCGCTTCTCGAGTGATGGTGGGAACAGCAGCGTTAAGACAATTTGTCTTTCCATCCGTCGTGAGCCTCTTGCAAAAGGAGTTGTTGCCTACAGTGGTAGATCAATAACTTTACGTCAGTTGTCAGGGATTAAAATGAAACAAAGTAAAAGTACAGGGACCAAACTAGTATTTTAACTAAATTTAAATTATTCACTCTAAACAAAATAAAGAAGCTATTTTTTCTTAAAGAAAATGAGAACATATTATACCGACAAATTTGAATTATTTAAAGGAAATATGACTTCAAATATAAAGACGCAAGATATAAAAATCTAAATTATTAACTTGAAGAAATTTGTTTCAAACAACTTCTTTTTTTTTTCCCTAAATAATTTAAAAATACAAATTCTTTCTTTTTTTCTTCTGTTAACAAAATATAAATACTAAATAAACCAATTTTTTTTTGGTTAAATAATAGATAGAGTAAAGAAAGACTAATAATTTAACTTTTTTTTTCTTCTTTTTTTATACCTAAGTTGCGAAGTGCCACAACATTGTTCTCGACTCTCACGGGCCAAAACAAGATATCTTGGTCATTTGAAGTCGTGTCAGTCGTATCTGCCCAAATCCAATTAGGACTTCGCCTCCAAAATTTACCAAAGTAATTCGACTTTATACGAACATTGCCATCACTTGTGATCAAAACTTCATTTCCCACTTTTGGATCTCCAATGTCATCTAAAGAAAATTGTAGATATGGAAGATCTTCAATCCATTGTGCACTAAGGTAGCTGCCATTATCACCCTTGAATGCAACATGTTTGGGCAAAACAAAGAATGATTCCCAATCAACAGCAATATGGAGATCACAAAGGTTAGCATCTGGATTTGAAAACCCCATGTTCAAGCATCTATCACGAGTTGTACCATCTCTCCAACTACATGTGTTGTAGCCGAGGTAGACGTGCTTGATTCGGTACGCTTTGTGATAAGGATCGTAGGTGGGTTCGAACAACGTGCATGCCCAATTGGATTGATCTTCGTTTCGCTCGTCTGCTGCTGCAACCACATACTGCGTATACATCGAGGGGCAGACCCAATATTTGTTGTTGTAACAACATCGGATGTTGACGTAGCCTTTGCCAACTTTTGCAGGCTCAACTTCGTACTTTGTGTAAGAGGTCACCACACTGTGGGCATCATACTTGACATAGCCATGAATTTGAACATCTTCTTTTATGAACTTCAAATAGAGGTCATCTGCCTTGGACTTGAAGGCCACGTACCTTGGGAGCACCATTTTTTATGATCTCTTTCTTGTGTTTCTTGGCAAATTTTCACTGTTTTTGGTGGTTGTGCTCCAAAGTTTAAACTAAAAGGGAGTATTTATAGATCAATTTGTGAGACCCATAAATGCAATTGGATACTAAATCTCACGAAACATAAGTTTAAAATAATATTTTCGTCCCTGTATGTTTAGCTTCATTTATTTTAGTCTCTGTGTTTTCAATATGTTTATTTCGGTCCTATGACATTAAACTATGATTCAGTTTAGTCTCCCTACTTTTAAAATGTTTGTTTAGGTCCCTGTAATTTTTTAAAATGATCATTTTGGTCTCTATTTATAGAAATTTTATCACGAATTCTACACATAATGGAAATTCTTTAATATAATGTCATTGTTACATCTCAAAAAATATATTGAGGGTATAACCTTATATTGAAATTGTGATAGAAAAAATGAGATTAAAAATAAAATTAAGAACTAAAAGGGTTACTTTTTAAGAATACATAAACTAAACAAACATTTCAAAATTATAGGGACTAAGATGAACCAAAGTAAAAAAATACATAGACTAAAATAAAAATTTTAAAAGTGTAGAGATGAAAATTAACTAAAGTTAGAAATATAAGTACCAAAATAGATAATATTTTAACCAAAAACATAATGGGAATGAAAAAGGACAATAAATGAGTTAGTTGAAAAATGTCATTAAGTGAGGTAGTTGGGTAGAGAAATTAATAACCAGAAATGCCAACTAGAATAGAATAGAATTAAACTTTAGGATAAAAATTAAACTACTATAAGTCAATATCATGTTTAATTTGAGGTTTAATCTCTATGAGATTAGTTAAGTGTTTAAGACATTTTACTAAATTTTTATAGGTCAGAGGTTTAATCCCTTGTATTTACATGAGTTAGTCAATTGTAAAGGCTGGTTTGAAATTCTTTTCAGATTCTACGGATGAAATGGATTTATTGAATAGAAATTCTGAAAACAACATTTTTATGTTTTCAATGTTTTTAGATTTTGAATTTAAAACGTTAAAATACAGAGTTACATTAAAAACGATTAAAAAAGTTTTGATAAATATACTCCAGCTATAAATTCATTTCAATTTTTTATTAGAACTAAAAAATTGTAAAATATAATATATTATAAATAATATAATATTATAAAATAATAATTTTACCAAATTTATAACATATATATTAATAAATTAATTAATATTACTTTAGATTCAAATAGATATATTTAATGGATAACTCCACTAATCCACAAATGTATTATTAAATTTTGAACAATTTTTTAAGTTTGGATTCAATTTTCAAATCCGCTATCTAACCTAACACATATATAACTACATTTAATATAACTCTCTTTTTTATTAAATCTTTTGTTTTCATATTTTTGTTTCTGGATTACTAATCAAACGCAATTTTAAATTTCTAAATTCCTAATTTGCACCTCTCATCAATTTTAAAACATTTAGCAGCAATTAGTATATAATTCCATAATTATTCTCATATACCAATATTTATACTTTTACCATATAATTTTCTTTGGTTTAATTAAAACAACAGAAGACATTAGATATAATTACATGTATGGCCTCCAAATGTTAAATTTCTAACGTAAACTTCAAAATGGGAGCAAAAGTAGTGTCTCATCAAATGTAGTATAATTTAGATATGTAATAGAAAAAAAAATCAGCTAAAAAAATAATTATGAATGTAAAAAAAAAAATCGAAGAATTAGTTATTACCGATAATTATTATACGGCCATATATCTAACGTTTTGAGATATGACCCCATATAATAAATATTTAAGTTGTCATAATTCATCCATGCTTACATATAAAACATCAACTTGAATCTAGAACTTAAAAGATATTTCTTGAGCCACAAGTCACCAAAGCTAATCCTTTGGAAACTGAAATACGCATGTTTTTATTATTAAAAGATTTAATTGCATGCGTTTTTTGTAATATAACAAATGTGGAGATAATGATTCGACGTCCGACCTCTAAAAAAGAGTAAGATGTCTTAAGTACTGATAGTTATATTCATGTTGACTTCAATTTTATTTTTTAATTAAAAAAGTATTATATTATAAATAAAGAATTTAAAGCACGGTTTTATAACCAAAGACATTGATGTCTAACCACTTCAACTATACTCCAACAACTTTAAGATTTCACGATCTGGTATATTATTCATAAATTTATTTTTATTTTGTTACATTTATAATTATATACCTTTAACTATTATATACACACACATATATATATATTCATGAATAGCATTTCTCAATAATTTAGATCTATAAACTTTTCTAGGAACCAAATGATAATTTAGTTCGAGAGCTAGGGTTCCAAGGAAATTTATAGGTTCTTTAGTTTCAAAAAAAGAAAAAGAAAAAAAAAGAATCGTTAAGGATGGTATATCATATTTTATTTAAATAATAGCAAAATTTTCCTATAATCATAAAATATTTTGTAAAAACAGTATGAATTTAAGAACTCAATACGTATATCAATAGTGTATGCATATTAGCCCTCCAAAATAAATTTACTTCATCAATTGTATAAAAATAGTTTATATCTTAATGATATAAGTTATTAGTAATCTAAAAATTGTATTTGAATAATATATTTAATACCAAGTTTGTTTATGCAGAAATTTGCACAACGGTTCTTCACGAATCGAGCTCGAACCCGGTCACCGGTTCCGACCTGAACACTAGAGTGGACCTGCACAAGAGGGTAAGCACTCTGATGCTCAAGTCAGTATAGATCGGACTCCTTATTTAGTTTGAGGTGAGATTCGATACCTGAGCGTGAAATGAAATCCTCTATTTATAGGTGATGGATCCGACAGTACACACGACCGGCGGTTATGTGTCTTTTCTCATATCGGGCCTATCGGGTTCCGAGCAGGTCGGACCCCAGTCAGGTCGAACCTTGGTGCCCATACTTAGTCTTTTATAACGGGCGAACCCGGTCTCCTCGGCGGGGCCGAGGTGGACTTAAGCAATCCTTTTTATTTGGTTTCTTCAAACACTAACAAGGGTCCTCCACGTGTCTCGGGTATGTTTACCCCCAAACATTGGCCCCCTCTCTGTCAGGTTCGATCTCGACCTAATAGAGAAGTTCATTCGAATCTATTTTGGACACGTGGCGACTTTTCATTTGTGGAGGGAATATGACCGTTGCGGAAGACGTTTCGACCTGCCAGGTTGTCGGAGCACTCAAGTGTTTCGTCGTTGCGTATCTCGAGAAGATCCTAGCCACTCGTTGATTACACGTGTACGGTGCAGAGGTTTTTTCGATCAGCTATAAATAGTCCCGAAACTTCAGGTCAAACCCTACGTTTCCTGAATTTCTGGAGTTCGATCTGAAACCAGCTCGAACTTTCTGTAGGTCAGTCATTTTCACTTTTACTTTCTTTTCGAATATGGTGGTGTTCCTGTCTTCCCCCTCCAGTAGCGATAGCCTGGGTAGCGTAGGTCGAACCATAAGTAGCTCACCCCCCAAACCAAGTGATTCTGGGGAGGTCTAAGCTCGTAGGTTAGAGTCCGAACTGGAAGAAATAGAGAACTTTAGGTTCTCAAATGACGGAGAGGATAGTGATACCTCCACCTCGGGCCAGGGTCTGGAGTACCCTTCTAGGATGCCCGAGCATTATCTCGGACCCCTTCGTAGGGGGTTTAAAATTCCAAACAACATCCTCCTTAGGATCCCGGAGGAAGGGGAAAGAGCTGACAATCCTCCAGAGGGATGGGTCACGCTTTACTTGAAGATGTTTGAGTACGGCCTCAGACTTCCCTTTCATCCCTTTGCTCAGTAGTTCTTCAACCAAACTGGACTGGCTCCTGCTCAAGTGGCCCCCAATGGGTGGGGTGTCATTTTTGCTTTAGCCATTCTTTTTTGGTTGCGAGCTCGGGACGAGGATGAGGCCGAGCTTCTAAGCGTTGACCAACTTCTTGGGTGTTTTGAGGCCAAGAGGATATCCAAAAAACCAGGTCGGTACTATATGTGTGCGAGGAAGGGCGCAGGTGATATAGTCAAGGGGCCGACCTCCATCAAAGGATGGGTAGGTAAGTGGTTCTTTGCCTCAGGTGAATGGCTGGCAAAGGACGAGTCAGGTCGTCCCTTCTTTGACGTGCCTGCTAGGTTTGGGAACCTAGGTATGGAGTCTTTCTTGTTTTCTTTT